AAAGATGTCCCTGTTACTTCTCTTCAATTCTGCTTGGTTTTTTTTTAACTTAACAGTAAATTAGCTTTACTTGTAAAAGGCCTCTCTCACACTTTGCTTTTACGGATCAAACAATCCTTTCTTTTTCTTTCCAAGAAGTGCAGTTTTTGCAAATATGGCCGGTCCCGATCTGATCCAGATATCGGATCGGGACCAGCCTAGTTTGGATGAGTAAAATGGACTCTGGGATGTGTCTGTGGGAGGTAACTGGGTGGTTTTTGCAGCTGGTTTTTGGCCCTTTTTCATTGTTAGGACTGTGTGTTTCTTTCAGGAGGACAAAAAGAGCAAGTCGGGCCGCTCCCTGAACGAGGACGGCCGGGAGGACTCCGGAGACCGGAGGAAAGGCATGTTCTTCTCCTGGTCTCGGAACAGGAGTTTTGGAAAAGGCCCAAAAAAACGAGAGCTGGCCGACTTCAATTTCAGTAAGACGTTGTTTTGTTTTTTGTTTGATATGTTTTTGTTTTAGTAGCTCCAACTGCTGACTGCTTTAGTTCAGAACAGGAAAAATATGATAAACTGATAAACAGTCATTTGATAACACAACAGACATTTAACCCTTTAAAGCCTGATCCAAGAATAAAACAAAACAGAAAATGACTTTTTTTTTTGTTTGAATTCCTTATTTGGCCTTTTAACAAAATATGTAAAAAGAAAAAACAGAAATACCTTTTTTATATTAATAATTTATTACTATGCGATAAATCCAGATAATTTTTTGTGTAGTCTTCTGCCCCCTGTTATCAGGTGTATCTGATTGTGTACAATAGGATTTTGAGCAAAGTTTTTACCATTAAATTATGCAAAATGTGTCAGACGCAAAACATTTCAGAAACTGTATGAATCAAATATGATACATTTGGCATTACAGGGTTAAGATAATAATAAGCTAATCCATTTTATTCAGACATTAGTAAATGAACAGTCTGATTGACAGGACGTGTTTATGCTTTAAGTGCATCCCGATTTATGTTTTTTGTTAAAGAAAACCTCCCTTTATTTATTTTTTTATAGATTTTTCTGGCAGTAACGGCCGTCGGGAGTCCCAGGGTTCCCTTTCTTCGGGAGCTAGTCTTGAACTCGGGACGTCAGGCTCTGGAAAGAACGAGGTCAGTCTGGGTGGAGACACGGAGATGTTATCAGTCACACACGAGACCAAACGGCAGGCTCATGGGCACTAATGGCAGCAGCCTCCACGTCACGCTTTATCTCACTTTTCTCCTCTAGAAACAATGAAAACAGGCCTGATGTTACACAGGCTTTGTGTTTTATATCATTCTGGATAGCTTAGGGATATCCCAATCCAGCTTTTTTCACTACCGATCCCGATCCCGGCCTATCAGAACATGTTTTAAAGTTTAAAGTTATTTATCTACTCACTTAGTTGTCAGACTCATGTTGAACAGGGATTTACTCGGATACCCACTTGATGGTTAGGACACAGACCTGTGGGTTACAGATACTAATGCTAATGCTCGTGTGGGATCAGACTTTAAAGATAAAACTGGATCTGGAGTCTGGATCTGCATTTTCTCCTGCCGGCTGATCCGATCCAAAGCACATCGGATCGGGACCAGCCTATTCTCTTCAGTTATAATTATGTTAATCACACTTTAATACTCAAAGTCCGTTAAATATTCCATTTGGTATATGTCCCAGACCTTCTGGATCCATATATTATAGCAAGGAAGCTCAGGTTGGAGCCATCTGATAGTTATGCATTTTAGAGCCTTAACCAGTGGTTTGACCACCTCTAAAGTCTCCCTATCATCCATAACAGGGCGACTCCCGGGGTCCGGTCTCTGAGCGGGCAGCAGGCGGCGCCCCCTTGAGGCAATGCAACATAAACCTGCCCAACGGCTCGTGCTGCTCGGTGCCTCTGAGGGCGGGGGTCTCCATCAGAGAGCTGCTGCAGGGGCTGTGTGAGAAGCTCTGCATCAACCTGGCAGCCATAGACCTTTTCCTGGTCGGGGGGGAGAAGGTAAGGCCCACAATGTTCTCCTAAAAGTTATTTTTTATTTTTCTGTTTTATGCCTGACTGCAAAAATAAAAAAACAAAACATGAAAAAGAAAAAGAAAAATGCTTTTTTGGTTGTTTTTTCTAAAAAGACATTGTTTTTGTCTTTCAAGCAATTGTTTTTGCTTATTAAATTTTTTTTTTTTTTTTTAATTGTTTATTTCTCTTTCAGCCACTTGTTTTAACTTAAGTTTTTTTTTGTTTTTTTAATTGTTTATTTCTCTTTCAGCCGCTTGTTAGGTTGTTTTTTTTCTTTCAGCCACTTGTTAGGTTTTTTTTTGTTTTTTTAGTTTTTTGATTGTTTATTTCTCTTTCAGCCACTTGTTTTAACTTGTTAGTTTTTTTTGTTTTTTTTTAATTGTTTATTTATCTTTCAGCCACTAGTTTAACTTGTTAGGTTGTTTTTTTGTTTTTTTTATTGTTTATTTCTCTTTCAACCACTTGTTTTGGCTTGTTAGGTTTTTTTGTTTTTGTTTTTTTAATTGTTTATTTTTCTTTCAGCCACTTGTTTCAGCTTGTTAGGTTGTTTTTTGTGTTTTTTTAATTGTTTATTTCTCTTTCAGCCACTTGTTTTGGACCAGGACTGTGTGACACTATGTTCTCGGGATCTCAGACTAGAAAAACGAACTCTCTTCAGGTACAGAGATCTCTGTATTCATGCGTGTGTTCAGTCCAAAACTGTGTTTGAATACAGAGGAGACTGCCGGTTTCCAGGAGTCTTAATGACGCGCTCTGGGGAAATGATAGTACAACAGCTCCATTTTAATCATGAATCCACAACTCCCAGGGTGCTTAGGGATCCACTCAATTCCACTCCTGATTCTGCTTCATTTTAGATTTATTTTACCTAATAAGACACTGAAAAAATAGGACAAGAGCTGAGACCAAACATGAAAAGTATTGTCAAGAACTCACATTTCCCTGGTCTGCAGTTCAGCCATGAAAACTGATGAAAACTGGCATATTACAGATACCAGTTTGATATCAACCTCAGTAAACTGGGTTTTTCTAGACTGGTTTTTATCACAGCAGCATGTTTTAAATACTGGATTAAAGTGGAAGCTCCTATTTCTGATCGGGGAAAATTACAATTCTGATTTCCTTTTTACGCATAAATCCAGGTGATACTAATGCTGAAAGCATTTTCTTAGGACTTAAAGATAGTTTTACCTCTCAGTTTCAC